AGAATTGCCAGAACCCAGGAAGCGGAGGTTGCGGTGAGCCGAGATCGCGCCATTGCACTCAAGCCTAGGTATCAAGAGCGAAACTCCATCTCAAAAATAAAAAAAAGAAGTGGAAGTTTCTATTCACTTCTTTTGATAGCTCCCTCTCGTGCATGTCATGTTTTATATTTAAGTCTTCTTCCCATAGCTTTGTGTGAGAGGTAAGTTGTAAGCCTAGCAAAAAGCACTCGAAATTTAATCTCTGCTATCCTTTGTAAATATACATTCGTTGAGTTTTTAAAGAGCCCTGGAAACCACCTTCGTGAAGATAAAACATGTTGGAACATAGTAGATACTACAATAGTGGTATTGCAAAAATCCTACTGAAAATGGAATGACAACATATTTGTTCATGTAATCTGGAATATTGAATTGGAATTCTGTAGGTTGGAAGCAACATCAAGGACTTAATGGGGTCTAGTCATCTGTCTTCAGACAGATAATGTTTTGCTTCCTCATTCTTATCATATCTTATCACATGAATGGCTTAAGGCAAAGTAAGGATTTCTTATTCTCATATTACAGATAAGGCCTCTGGGATCCAGAGGCAGAGTGATCAAACCACAGATGACAGCGTGCATGGAGTGGGAGGGCAACCCAGGCTCCAACTTCCTGGCATTGCACCTATCCCAATACTTATTTATTTTAACTGCAAGGCCCAAAGAACTAGTCAGATATGCCAAGAATAGAAATCCTGGCATGACCTCATGAGGTTTGGAAGACTTCACAGTATTAAAATAGAAAAATGTTAAAAACAAAATGTAAATATCATTGAGTTATCATCCAGTGCCCTGTGCTTTCCCTAGGTTAGGGAAATATGGTATGGGCAACATCTGTCCTGTTTCACTACCGTGTGTCAGAGTATATATGACACAGGGTTTGTCACACAAGGCAGGGAAACATCACAAATATATGTTGAGTAAATTTTTTTTTTTTTTTGAGAAAAGCTGAGTAATATAACAAAAAACATCCTAAGAGGACAGCACCTTGATCATAAAAAAGCTTAATCTCTCTTTGATACCTCTGGAAAACAAGAAACTATAATAGAAATGTTTTTGCAAAATATTTGTAAGACATGTGTTATTATCTGAATATTTGGTCATTCTAGTCAGGAACTCAAAATGAGAAGAAGGCAATACTTTGGGGGAATGTAATCACTCATCCAATGCAGACTCAGTTATAAACCAAGGATATTTTTTGAACTGTATCATTTCAAGCACAAGGCCCAACGAACTAATCAAATGTGCCACAATACCCAAGAGTGACATTAAAAAATTTTTTAATTTGAAAATAATTTAAGAATCACGGAGTAGTTTTGAGAAGATCTATACATCCTTTAACAAGGTTCACCTACTGTTAACATTTTGCTCAATTTGCTTTGCAATTTGCTATTGCTGTATCCATCCATCCACAGAATACATTTTTCTGAAGCACTGAGAAAATACTGTCTATATTATGGCTCTTTACCACTACATATGTCAGCGTATATTTCCTAAGAATAAAAATATTATACACCACAGTAATTAACTTCAGTAAGTTTAACAATGATATGATACTTTTGACCATCTATATTCCAATTTTGTAAACTGGCCTAACAATGCATTTATAGCATTTTTCCAATATAGAATCTAGTCTAGGACCAGTTACTGCATTTAGTTGTCACAACTCTTTAGTATTGTTTACTCTGGAACATTTCTGCAACCTCTGTCTTTTATGACATGGACATTATTGAAGCACATGGTTCTTTTTTTCTTTCTTCCCAAAATGTTCCTCATTTTAAATTTGTCTGATGTTTCTTCACAGTTAGTTAGGTTCAGGTTATACATTTCCAGATGTCATACTACACAAGTGATACTGTATCCTCAAGTTATCATAGCCAGAGGCACATGTTGTCCATCTGCCCCTCATTGGTGCTATTAATTTTGATCACATGGTCAAGGTGTTGCCTGGTTTTTCCATTATATAGTTATTATTTTTCCCTATACAACTAATAAGAAGTCTGTGGAGAGACACTTAAAGACTATAAAATAGTCTGCTCCTCCTCAAGGAAATGTTTATAACAGTATTTTCACTACAGTTATAAAAAGTGACCTCTACATAATAAAAGAAACCTAACTTCATGTATTATAGTTGAATAAGTTCCATGCCAGTTTTAACATCTGTTTCTATTACAGTAGTCCATGCACACTGGGTGTTTATTAAAAACTTTTCATTAACTGTCTGCTATCTGGGGAGGATATGGGCAATTTGTTTTTAAAATCCAACAGGTACCAATGCCCTAATTTTGGCTCCTTAAAAAGATATATTTAACTTATGCTATCAAAGCAGTTTATAAATTAAATTAAATGATATAATTGCAAGAACATTCTTTAAAAAAAGAAAAGAGACTTGTAAAAAAAACTTAGCTCTACTTATTCAAATTATCTATGCAGTCTTGTTACAATGCTATTGATTATTATCCAACCTTTTCTAAGCAGTAGGATTTTTGAGCTAAGCCTTAATTCAAGGCTTTATCTTGGATTAAACACAGCTACCTTATATATGCTCAAACGGCCAGGTGGCTTCAGTTTCTAAGTTTGGTAACACACAGAAGACAATTTTTGAAAAGCAGGGCACATTTTTTTTTAACTTTTAAAAATGGTTTTTAAATTTTAAATACTTTAAGATGCCTTCTTACTCATTTTGCTACCATGGCTCTCAACATTATGGAGGAACATGCTTCACAAACCAGTCATGACACTGAACAAGCATGCCACTAGTGGTTCAACTATTCTTTTATAGAAGTCAGGAATCAGAGGAAGAGATAGGTCCAAAGCTTAAATAGAATACAAACTTTCTCTTTTGGGAGCAGCCTCTCATCTATAAATTTGTCTTACTTGCAATACAATAAAATTCTAGCCTTTATAACAAAAGAGATCATTTTTCTTTTTGATTAATAGAATTCGGCAGCCAATTCTATTAGTGTTTTTGTTTTGAGGTTGTCTTTTTTCTTTTTTTTTTCTTGAAAGTATTTGTAGACACAGGCTCAAAGGAGAAAGAAAGGAAAAGGAATTAACTCTCCTCAAGGAAGGTCAAAAACATAATCTACAAGAGAAGCAAGAGGACCAACTGCATCTGCTTGCCAAATTGACTATCAACTGGAGAATTTACCAACAATAAGAAAACCATGTCTACCAGATGTCAAGCTATATAACTGGAGGCCAAATATCTTTGGGCTCATAGCAGGACTCTCCACTCTTTACTACCTATATTTCACATTAAATAGTAAGGTGTCTTCCACGGGCCACAGCAAGGATAACAAAAATATTTCCACACAAGGGACCTAATAACATAATCATACCCCACCAGACTGGCTTCAGTGCTGAAGTCCACCTCAGACATGTTCTTTTGTTAAAAAGCAATCTTAGTTCTGAATCAATATGTAAGGGGACAGAGAAACTGAAATGACTGCAAGCTATTCCTATGCAAGGATTCTTGGGGTTTATCAGGCTGTTTTATATTTGGGAACTCTTTTTTCACTGAGAAGAAATGAATCTGAAAATTTGAATAACCATTTTCCCACTTATTAAACCTGTGCTGTTCAATATGGTAGCCACGAGCCACATGTGGCTATTTAAAATTAAGTAAAATTTTAAAATTCAGTTCCTCAATCAAACTAGCAACATTTAAGTGCTCAATAACCACATGTGGCTAGTAGATTCCCTGTTGAAAAATAGAGATATAAAATGTTCACATCACACAAAATTCTATTAGACGGTGCTGTTCTAAACCCTTAAATCACCTTTAAAATGGGCAATCATATTTCCATTCTATATAAATTATGAAACAATCTTTTACGCATTCTCTTAGGAAATAGGTCTACTAACACAATATGAATATTGTACCAGGTGAAGGTGAAGCAAAGGGATCTCAGTAATATTTTCACAATATAAGCCAATCCTTGTCTGACTAAATGCTCTTTACATTACTCACAGAAGTTCTGTGGAGCTACAGCTGGCCGGATAATATACAGAGGACAGTCTGGATGGGTAGTATATAACAAATAAGCAATAAAGTGTTCTTTATTGTATATATCCTTTATGATTCAATCTGTATCAGACAGTTCATATCAGAAGTCTTATTTTATAAGTCAAAATGTACAAAATGAATCATTTCCTTTAAAAACAAGGCTGCCCAACTTCACAGCTTTACAATTTAGGTATTTTAATGCCAAGTAAACATCACAGGCCACAGCTGTTCCTAAAAATTTTACGAACAAGAAGAACATGAGGTCAATATAAAATAAAATTCATAAATCACATTGCTTACTCCCAGGCTCAACCATCAAGAACCCGGGGAAGCCAAGCAACTCTGGAGATGGTATGTGGATGCCTATGTGATTATTGTAACTCACTGAGGGACATGTGCCACAGGCATGTGGCATGTAGACAAAGACCATTGCTTCTGCCCATGAAGACATCATGTCAGGGCATGACAGAACACACTGAAAGATGAGACAGGTTATACTTGCAAGCATGTCAGCCACTGTGCCATCAAACACGCAGTATGCTTTCTAGAGTCAAAGCTTGCTTTGACTCAGTTTCCTTTATTCTAACACTCCTTGCACAATCATTCACCTATGTCAGCTTACCAGCTTCACTCCCATTTTCTCTTCTCAAATCCCAGTTTCCTCTTTTCAACTTAATTGCAATGGGCAAAAAGGAACAGGATGGGAGCTGTAGGGGAAGGTGGGCAGGCTTTTCCTAATGCTCCCTTGCTCTGTCACCAAAAGCAAAATAGATACACTGGTTTTCTCTGGGGCTGTCAGCATTGTTAACTGTTCTTATCCAGATTCTTATAAAGATCATAGAGCTACTGCCCAAGAAAAGCTGACAAAATTCATCCATATCAACTTAGCTAGTTAGAGGTTTATGCAATGGCTACAAGGTTCTCAGGTTATGACCCAGTTCTTTCCCGCTTACCTTGGCTTTCCCATCCTGGGCTGACATATATCCAACACACATGCTCTCTGTCGTGTGGCTCCACAGAAATTCCACTGCCGTAAAAGAGAACACAAATAGGCACATTCAGATCACAGATGGAAAATAAATCTTTGCTTTTTAATAGAACAGTTAAAGATAGCTTTATATTTAACATACTCAGTTCCCCACTTTCCATTTGCTCCTTCATAAATGTCAAGATGATTTATCACTCAAAACTGTGTAATGCCATTTACTGTGAAATGAAAAATGTATTTCTTTCCTGTCAAAACTTATGATTATTACATGTAAAATAAATGCTCTTCTGTTTGAATCTGTAACATTAAATGCACACACACACTCATACACATTGTATACAATGATTTAGTAAATGTAATATTCCATAGTGTGGTTTTTTTTTTAACCACATGCACGCACGCACACAAATGACACGCATCCCAGATCTTAATTTCCTTTTTTTTTGAGATGGAGTTTCGCTCTTGTTGTCCAGGCTGAAGTTCAATGGTATGATCTCAGCTCATTGCAGCCTCTGCCTCCTGGGTACAAGCAATTCTCCTGCCTCAACCTTCCAAGTAGCTAAGATTACAGGCATGTGCCACCACACCCGTCTAATTTTGTATTTTTAGTAGAGATGGGGTTTCACCATGTTGGCCAGGCTGGTCTCAAACTCCTGACCTTAGGTGATCTATCCGCCTCAGCCTCCCAAAGTGCTGAGATTACAGGCATGAGCCACTGCACCCAGCCCTTAATTTCTAAATGCCATTCTCTACAAAAAAGAACCAGGAGTCATTGGAGAAATGTCCATTCCAGAGCTGGCACAGAGAAAATATAAAATGAATCTGGTACATCTTGTGCCAGAAAAGAAAGAAAAAATGCTCAAAGAGACTGAGCACGGTGGCTCACGCCTGTAATCCCAGCACTTTGGGAGGCCAAGGCGGGTGGATCACAAGGGCAGGAGAGATGGAGACCATCCTGGCTAATACGGTGAAACCCCATCTCCACTAAAAATACAAAAAATTAGCCAGGTGCGGTGGCAAGCGCCTGTAGTCCCAGCTACTCAGGAGGCTGAGGTAGGAGAATTGCTTTAACCCAGGAGGTGGAGGTTGTTGGATTGAGCCAAGATCATGCCACTGCACTCCAGCCTGGGCAACGAAAGCAAGACTCTGTTTCAAAAAAAAAAGAGAAGAAAAAGAAAAAAGAAAATGATCAAAGAATAAAGGGGACTTATCAAAAAAGACCCAGGGGTCAATCTGAAAGGCTCTCACTGGCAAAATCTGTGCCTATCAAAATAAATAATGAGCGTAATGAATTATAACCGCTGAACAAAGAACCAATGAACCATACTGATCCAAACAAATAAATAAGGAGAAGAAAAAGCTCATCCTACAGCAGAACGTCAACTAATAGTATAGAAAAATAACAGAAAATCATGGTTGCTAAAACTAGTAGGTGGAAATTTGAAGAGGAACAGGCTATTTACAAAGCTTCAAAGTATCTCTCCAAAAAATTCTTGTAACAGGAAAACCTGTTAGTTCACTGTGGAAGCACTTGATAGACTCCAACTTAATTCATTGAACAAGGCTACCACCACCAGTGAAGGGACAAATCAGCACCATATGCCTTTTGATAAAATACCTTGAGACACACAACTTCTGTGGTATTCAGTCTTCCTGACAAAAACACATAACCAGAATTGAATGAGAAAACATCAAACAGACTTGAAATAGCAACACTCTACTAAATAACTGGTTTGAACTCTTCAAAAATGCCAAAGTCAGAAAACACAAAGTTGGGAAACTTCCTGTTTAAAGGAGACATGACAACTGAACACAACGTGTCATCCTGGATTACATTCTGGACTCGGTGGTGAGAGGAGATGTCATGAGGGACATTATGGAGATAATTGATAAAGTTGGAACAGGGACTGTGGGTTAGACAGTGGTGTCATATCAATATTAAAAGCCATGACTTTGATAACTACACTGTGATTATTTAATAGAATGGCCTTATTCTTAAGGAATTCTCACCAAAGTATTAGGAATACAGGAACCCAATGTCTCCACCTCACTCTCAAATAGTTCAGAGAAAAAAATGCATTTGTTTGTGTGTGTGTGCGTGTGCACATGTGTGTGCGTGTAGAGGGAGGAGGGAGTGAGGATGGGAAGACAAATAGAAGAAAATGAAAACACTGGTTGAATCTTGGAAAAGGATCATGAGTGTCCCTTGTACTATTCTTGGAACTTTCCTGTATGTGTAAAATTATATCTAAATAAGGAGTTACAAAAAGAAAACCGCAAACATCCCGGGATGCATACAAAGCTCTGTCACATTCAAGTACATACCTTCAAAATTCTGAGTTTTTAAAGGCATCTTTAAAGTTGTAATGTACTCCAATAAAAATTTCAAAAGTCCCTGATAATAAAACTGCATTGCTCAACACTAAACTCTGTCCCCCAGGCCATCTGTCTGTTTTTATCTCTAAGCTAGTTGAGCCTGGAGACAAGTGTTTGAATTGAGACCCAACTGTGTGATCCATGATCCTAGCCTCTGAAGGCTTTGCCAGACATGTGGGGAAGAAACAGACAGTAAGGGGCAAAATTCAGTTCCTCAGATAAATGGCTCATTCCCTCATCATTAATTAATTATCAAACCTGCCAACCTGCTCAACAGACACTCCACTGAGGAGTACAGGGAAACAGTGTCACGCAATGAAGCAAATTCTCTTCACCAGATGTTTCTCCTTCCATACACATCTGCTTTGAACTTCAAAAATCTTGACATCCAGAGCAAGGTCTGGGATATTCTAACTTGCCTAACAGAGCAAAAGCACTCAAGTCTTACTGAAGTTCCCTAGAGTAGGGACAATAAATTGTATTCAAATACAAAGTTAAGGCATTTCTAAAATTGTACCTCTTCCTCATGTCCCAAATATTAAGGGGACAACTGCTCAGGAATTAGCTGAGAAAAATAGATAAAAATGTAGCCAATATGACCATGAGAGGAAAGGGTAAAGACATTACCCTTTTATTTATTAAAGATCATTTTAATGATTTTTAAATGTATTATTCTCCCTATAAATGTAGTCTGCTTTTGGAGAATGAAATAAACATAAAAATTTAGACTTACAAAATATGATAAATTAGGGTACATTGATTAACTTCATTAAATCATTTTTATATGAAGGGTTTTCAATAAAATTTCTAGATATAGTGCTTAGGAGTTTTTAAAGCATATCTCAATGTGTAAAAATTCATTCTTCACTGTTTTTCACAAACATTTATCCCATCCACCAGTAAAAGGCAAAGCACTATACTGCCACATATGTTAATAATGACAACTCAGATCAGTACATAGCTATGAGTTGTTAATTCATGCTAGCTTGAAAATCTCTGAAGAAACTGTCTAGGATTTAAATTATAAAACACTTTTGAAAATATTTTATTACTTATAGTATGCGCATAATGCAAGTTAATTAAAAAAATTATTTCTTAGTAGAAGACCTCAAGGAAGTAAGACAGGGAGGGGGTAACATTGAGGATCTATCATGTGCCAGGCATGGACTTTCATAGCAGAACTCAGCAAAGCATAGATAGGGAACCTGAGGATCAGAGAAGGGAAGGAGTATGGCTTCAGTCATTTTACTAGGTGCACAGATTGGGTTTCAAGCCGGACTCTGGGATCACAAAGCCTGTGGTATTTCATTGTTCTATTACTCTGAAATCTACTCAGTATAGACAAGGATTTATACTTGTTACACATTAAGAAGACTAAACAACACCAAAAGACACAAAACATCTAACACCAAACACAACTCTTACAACATTTTAAATCTCTCTTGAGGAAAGCTTTTGAACCATAACAAAACCCAGAGACCATAAAAGATGTCCAAGATCAATATATTTAACTAGTTTAAAAATATTTATAGTGTTTTTTTTTTTTTTTTGAGAAAGAGTCTCACTCTGTCACCTAGGCTGGCATGCAGTGGCATAATCTCAGCTCACTACAATCTCCACTTCCTAGGTTCATGTGATTCTCGATTCTCGTGCCTGGGTAGTTTATGCATTTTTAGAAGAGATGGGGTTTCACCATGTCAGCCAGGCTGGTTTTGAACTCTTGACCACAGGTGATCTGCCCACCTTGGCCTTTCAAATTGCTAGATTACAGACATGATCCACCTCACCTGGCATGTTTATAGTGTTTGTTTTTGCCATGTGGAGAAAAATAGAAGTTAAGAGATGAATGACAAATTTGGGGAAATATTTGCAATTCATCACATAAACAAAGGACTAATTTTCTTAATATATAAAGATCCGATATAAATCAATAACAGATAAATACCCAAAGAAAACGCAGAAAGGATATGAGCAAAACAGAATATAAATGGCTCTAAAATATATGAAAAGATAGTCTACGTTATACTAAAATAAATGCAAATTAAAATCACAAGATATCATTATCAGGTTTCAGACTATTATCAAACTATCAGGTTTCAGATATCAAAAACTCTGAAACAACATTTGTGTTAGCTGGGAGTGGAGAAAAGAGCAGATTCATATAACAATGGTGGGAGTATGGCTATCTGGAAGAACATTCTCTGAATCCATGGTAATTATGTTCTATAATGTTGATGAACACTGAATTAGCAAATAATGAGCCATTACTGGTAGGGAAAATACACGGCTAGGTTCCCGTACATCTCTGGTCAAAACATTTTAATAATGTATCAACAAATAACCTTATTTTATATGTGTTTCTGTTTAATCTTTTAAAAATATTTACTTATTTACCTATTCACTTACGATTCATTATATGCAGTATTTCTTTATAATAAAACACTAGCCAAGCAGGGTTTAACATTTTCCTGATGCTAGGTAACATGCCTATAAATTTCTTTGGCTTTCAAGTTTCACAACAGTGCTGTCCTCTATGTTTTTTGTAACTGGTCATCATTCCATGAATCCATTAATCTAGCTGCCTTTCCATCTTTTCCATCATTGCATATATCGATGTTAATTTAGCACCTTCTGGAGCAGCCTCACATACAGATCAGTGAGTT